ATACACATTTGTATCAGGTCAAATGAACATGGGTATAGTAACAATATTAATTATTCTACATTTATACTTTTTAGGCAACTAAGGCAAAAAAAAGTAATTAATTTAGAAAATCTATTCAGGACCCCATCTTGATGTGTCAGGACCCCACTTTGGGTCCCGACCCCAACTTTGGGAACCACTAGGGCTCTGCTGAAGACATACGAAGAAGAAAAAACTGTTGCCTAGGGTCACAGAATTTGACAGCTGTCATATATTGTGACTTCAATGTAGCTAAGGAAATAGTAAAAAAAAAAAATTCAAAAACTATTTATACTAATTGTTTACATCCTCTAGTGTCAGAAAAATACATTTTGATCACTGACACGGTGACTGTTATTACAGTTTTTATTGATTGGTTTGACACAGCGTCAACTCAAAAAACACGTTTTCAAAACAGTTAACACAGAAGCGTAAACATTGACACAGTGGTCAAAATGACACATTTTGTTTGCAAAATGCAACAACTGTGTCAAAACATTTAAAATATGGAACAAAAGCAAACTTTGCCTTCAAACAACTCAACTTTGACACAATCTATGAGCACCTTCAATCAATCATTACACAATGGGCAACAAAACACAAAATACAACACTCATGTAGATCAGTGCATCATTGTCATTGTAGCCCGACTGTACGTAGCTTACATGCCAGTGCTGTATTTTGCCCTGTTGCAAAAATGCATCCAGAAGCAGATATGGTTTGACGCAAATTTAATTGATCAGTGTGCATTGCCAATGTAATGCACACTATTGTGATTCGTTTCCCATCCAAGTCATCTCAACTTTGCCATGCTTCTCCTCCTGCATACTTTGTCCTAGAGCTGCCATTGTAATTTATATCTGTAAAGCCCCTGTGCCAAATGACGGCTATGCCTTTTGGTGTCTGTAAAACTTATAGTTTTTGAAATATTAATGTTTAATAAATTATAATGGCAGTCAATGGAGCCTTGTATTGGTCCAATACTGCCCCCTGCTGCATCTACACAATATGGTACTGAAAATGTATGGTACACCATAGTTTCATAATATTTAAACTCAGTAGTTCAGTGATTACAATATTAATATGATTGTATTTTGATGTTTTACTGTAATACTGTCTTTATGTTGTCCTAATGCTGTAATATATTGCACTTAAATGTCAACGATTGCATTGGCAAGGTAAACTTTTTCTGTATACATACAATCTAATCCCTGGGATTGTCCTCTGCCACATCTCCTATAGTCTCATGATGAGCAATGTGGGCTTTCATGCGGGAGATCAGGGTTCGAATCCAGCTACTGCAACTTTAACAAAAATCTCTTCAAACTTCTTATTGTCACACAATTACCTTAATTACAAACACCTGCTGATGTGACAGGCACAAGCTGGTATAGAAAACACTTTTGAACTTGGTCAAAGTTAATTCTGAAAGTCCAATGCTCCTGCATACTTTGTTCTACACCTGCCATTGTAATTTCTATCTGTAAAGGTCCTGTGCCAAATGATTGCTATGCCTTTTGGTACCTGTACAACTTGTAGTTTTTGAAATATTAATGTTGAAACTTTATTCCAAATTCATAAAATGTGAGTCAGTGGGGCCTTGTAATGGTCCAATTCTGCCCCCAGCTGTACTYAACTTGGTACTGCACCATAGTTTTTATATTTAATCTCAATAGTTCAGTGTTTACAATACTAATATGATTGTATTTTGATGTTTTACTATAACATTGTCTTAATACTGCTCTATTGTTGTAATATTATGCAGTTTAGTGTCAATAATTGTATTGGCAATGTGGCCTCTTTCTGCACACATACAAACCAACCCCTGGCACCACACCCTGCCACAGCTCCAACAGTCTAATGGTCTTTGTCATGGTCTTTCATGTGGGAGATCAGGTTTCAAAACCCAGCTAAACTTTAACAAAAAATCTCTTCAAACTTCATATTGTCACTCAATCACCTTAATTACAAACACCTGCTGACGTGACAGGCACAAGCTGGTTTAGAAAACACATTTGAACTTGGTCAAAGTTCATTCTGCAAGTCCAATGCTGCAATGACATGCTACATGGCAATGCACRCTTGTTTTTACATCGTAAAAACCCATGTCTAGTTACATTTGTTTTTCAGTCTGTGCCTGACAAATGAAATATTCCAACAGAGAATACRTGGAAATAAAAATAAAACCCTTTACTGTGTGAGAAATTATGTAAATAAAAAACACAGTCTTTTCCAGTAAAGATCAAAAATCTATAGTAGGCCTATACAATGAGTATAAGAGATAGCCAAAAGTGACACACTTCTGTCTCTTCTAGTCTCTTCTTTCTTGAAGAATGGGCCACATGGCCTCATCCACATCACATTCAATATTGTTTGCCAGAACCATGTTGACAACGGCTGCCTCCTGCTCAGCCTGTAAAAATTCTCCCTCTTCCTCTACCAACTGGTCGCCTTTCGATTCTATAAAGAATACATGAAATGTGGAAAAAATTACACGAAGTACTGTATATCACTGCAGATATATCTTTAGACTATATACTGTATAGCAACATTACCTATTCTCCTGTTGAAAAACTCTATATGCAGGGCAGTGTGCCTTGAGGACCAGGGTTGTAAATCACTGTTGTAGTCAAGGCAGACACTGAAGTTAATCAAAAATAAATAAATTAAATTATCTTGAATTTGATTATTTTTTATGGAGCCAATTAACTTGAATAATTATGCAATTATAAACACCAGGACCAGTTGATAGATAGCTGATGAAAATATCACGTTTACTGATTATTGTTTTTTTAGAAAACAAGTCACTTGCTTAAAAAGTCAGTTAC